GTTCATCACCAGACCTTATTAGTTTTAAACTTAAATCTGTTCATATTAGTTACCTTATTTGTATTAGCTTTTCCATCAATATCTCAAGTTTAAGTAATGTTTAATTAATTTTTAATGTGTCTCCAATACTCTCAGCACACGGGAGTTCTTTCTAAGCTTTCTTTGATTCACATTCTGTTTTTCAGGTTGAAAAGAGTATGATAGAACATAAAAACAAAGTAACACCATATGAAGGAAAAACATTCAATGGTCGTGTACATAAAACGATAGTCAGAGGTCAAGTGGTTTACGATACTGGCGTCTTCAGTCCGCAGCCACTGGGGAAATTTATTTTCCGAAATCAAGATGATAAAATGTAAGAACACTAAATCTAATTAAGTTACTGTAACTCTTATTATTTTCTTTAATTATTTTCGATTAAAGAGGGGTGGATGGAATTAAATGTTTTTAATAAAGTTTTTCTTTATGTGGAAGGGGGTTTGATCTCAAGTTTTGAAAAATGTCAACTACATTGTATATGATGAGAGTTACAAAATGCTCTGATACATTTGTTTTGCGAGGGAATCATTAAAAATTAAAAAAAAAACAGAAAAAAAAATTCTAGTGTATATATTAATCCAATTTGCAATTGTTTTTTATTACTTAGATACACTGTGATTTTGTAATATATGATTTGGATGTAAATATGATAATTGTGTTTTCGTATTATTAATTTGTACATGTTTCTGTTTTGTATCGTTATGTTACATAATACAACACATGTACATAACACTATTTTATGTTCTCTGAGTGGAATGGGTTGGGGGGGTCTTAATGCTGTATTGTGATACATTGATACAAAAAAAAACTACTGGTAATAACCATTATTTCTGCTATAAGTAGGAGAGAATTGGTGGAAGGTAATGAGGGTGTGCAAGATTTGTTTTCTCAAGCCCAACCCTTGGCCGTATTTTTTTTATAGCTGATGGAATATTAAAACTGAAATCCCAAAAAATTATTTGTGTAAAATGTGGTGTTTACAAGATTGTTTTGTATTAACTGTTGTGCATGCAAACAAAGTGACAAGTACTAGTATATGTAATTACAGCAATAAACAACTGGTCTGAACAATGGGTTGCATGATCAAAAGTGTATTCATGCGTGTGTGTGGGTGTGTGGGTGGGTGGGTGTGTGTGTGTGTGTGTGTGTGTGTGTGTGTGGGTGTGAGGGGGGGGTGTGGGGGTTGGGTATTTTTGTAAATATAAAATTTATCTAATTATTTAAATTTTCTCATTTTTGCTTTCCTATTATTTCCTATGTCTTTCCTTTTATTCCTTGTATTTCTCAATCAACAACTTGGAAGTAGTACTGGTGCTAGACTGTGAAGTTTGAAGAGAAGATTTTAACAAGACTTGGTGATTTTATCTTGGTGCTACTCTGCTGACTTGGTCTCATAGTATGCAAATAGTAGAACAGTTGGCAAAAATTAATAATTTTGAGTGGATTATTTTAGGCATCGTAAATTTATTCCAAACCATAGTTGATAATCTGGTAAAAACGTTTATTAAAATGTAAACAAATGACACTTTCACAGTATGAAAATAATACATAAATTACAGCAGGGTGTCACGGTTATATAAGTCATATTTTCTTAATTCAAGTATTTTTTAGTATAGTAGTATGTATTCATTTCTTATTATTATTCTTATGTTTTGCATTTGACCATATGTTTATTTCATTATCATAATTTTATTCAGTTAATTTCTGTCATTTCATCATTATTGCATCATTATTTTACCATATTGTATAAATACTAGACTTTATTTCACAAATGAACTTTATCATGTTTTTGTCTGAGCATTATTTGACCATATTAAAACATTTCTATCTTTATTGCATCATTATTTGGCAATTTTTACATTATTGTATCATTTTCAATAGGAAATTATAGGATTTTTTGGTCATGTTAAATTTTTTCAACAATATTCCATCATAAAGTCATTAGGACATTATTGGTCCTTGCTTATTTTATTT